ATTTTTTTTTTCATCAGGCAAACTATCCTCAGATTCCATTATATTAAATCTCTCCATAAATTTTACCAGAATTCTCAATTTTCACCCAGTGTAGTGGTTTCAGGTCAAGATTTTCCTTCTTCTGATGTTTAAAAACAATATTTTAAAATTTAGGCTAATATTCACAAGTGTTTTAATGTGCAAATGAAACCGAAGACTAAAAATTTCATAGCCAAATGAAATAACAAATAATGAATTTCAGTTTTGCTTATATTTCTATTTGTGTTTTAAAAATATTCCTTTTCATAAAGCAAGTGAACTTTGCCTATGGTCCTCTGTTATGAGACATAAAATCTGAGAAATTTAAATGTAATGGTAGAGATTGATGTATATTTTTATTTTTAGATAGCCAGTTCTTTTTAATAAATGAAGATTTCTGGTTAAAAGGAATAATTCACATTACCTATGAAGGTTTAAATAGGAATCTATTTAGTAAATCACTGTAATTGTTCTTTCTTGCTCTCAGACATTACTAATGAGGCTTTAAACAATGGCATACTTGCAGGCATGTGTGTGCACACACAAGTGTGTGAATAAAATAGAGATGATATCAGCATCGTTATACATGCATATTTAAATACATTTCTATTTGTCATATCTTCTGTAAAGAATGGTCTTTTTAAAAAATTTACTAGAAATTTAAAATATTGATATTAGTTATATATCATGGGTGTTGTGAGGCTGAAAGATGTCTTGGAAATAATTTTAGTCCAGCCCTTTCTGAATCACTTAGTGTTCTTTGGTCATAGGCAGCAGAAACCGATTCTGATTAAATTAAGTGGAAACGATTTTATTGAAAGGATATTAGGTAGCTAGTGGAATTTAGAGGAGAACCCGGCTCAGAAGAAAAAAACAAGACCCGGGCCCCCGGAATGGATCTAGGTAGCAACAGCAACTTGAGAATCTTGTCTAGATACTGCTGCCAGATTGATTGAACTTCAGCAACCTGCTACCCCCTTGTGTTGCTTGCCTCAAGGTTTCCAACTCCTGGGAGAGAGACCAGTTGGCCTAATTTGGGCCAATAACCCACCCATCAGCTAGGGAGTCCTTGAATTCCCTTTCCACCAAGATTACACACAATGTGGGACTGGTTATTTCCAAAAGTGTTTTGGGGTGCTGCCCCCTGTGGAAGTGGAGCTAGATGCTGGTGGACAAATAATGACCAGGGAGTGATTTTTCTGGATCTCTGTTCCAGTTGGCATTAGAACTGAGATGGCCTCCTACCTGCCCTATCGAGTGTTTGCTTTAATTGTTTAAAGTCATTGTTTGCATTTTTATCTATTTATAATTTTCTTGACTTTTGCCCCAGAATGCTTTCTTTACTCATAGGAAGACATGCAGGCAGCCAATGCATAAACACACAAAGGTGGCAAGCAGCTTTCGAAGCAAGGATAGATTTCCAGCCCCTTGTCCTCTCGGGCCTCTCTGTGCCACCCTCCCAGCTGCCTTCTAGGGTGCCACTCGGATGTCCCCTCAGGCTCCTCAGACTCAAGTTATCTGAAAGTGAACTCATTATCTTTCCACAAACCTGTTCCTCTTTTGGTGTTGCCCTCTCTAGCAAATTACCGCTTACCCAGTCCAAAAACCTGGTTGTCATCCTACCTCCTCCATTTTCTTCACCCCTGACATCCATTGAGTCACCAGGTAATAGTTTTGTTTTCTGTCTCCTAAATATGTTTTGAATCCACCCACTGCTATCCATCCCCACCCCAGCCCTGCTACCCCAGGTCCCAGCCCAGGTACCTCCCTCTCCACGATCACCAGAGTCTCCCATCTGTTCTCCCGCCTTCCAGGTTTGCCCTCCTCCCATCCCTCCTCTTGGATCAGGTGTGAATTTCAGAGTCACAGACTCAAGAATGCTAAATTGAAAGTCTTTATTTTTTTATAACTTAATTTTAATTCCTGGCCCTGAGCCTTGATCCTCCCTAGTGTAAAAATCTAATCTTGTCACTCTCAGGTAAAGTCAGTCCAATTTGGCAACTTCTCAGGTTATTCAAGATTTTAAAGCCTCTTCCCCTCACCCTATTTTCCTATATAGAAACAGCATCACCCTAGTGGGGAGAGGGCTGCAGGGGAGTAGAGTTACTAGATTTATCAAATAAAAATATAGGACATACTAGATTTGGGACATACTAATACTAAAAAATCCTTTTGTTTATTTGATGTTCAAATTTAACTGGGCGTTTTATCTGACAACCCCAAGCAGGGAGGGTGCATATAACAGCATTTACTTTAAGATCTTGATCCAGTACCTCGTAACTGTCACTGCATTTGCCTGTCCAGTATCCATTATTCCCTTCTTGTTTGCTAATATAACTCTGTTTTGTTTGGGGTAGCAATGTGCCCAAGAGGAAGAAGGCTATTTGTTTTCCCAGACTCCTTGCAGTAAGGACGGTAGGGTATGTGACACAGTTCTGGCAAGCAGGAAAGTAGAAATCCACTAGTAGTTGCAGGAATGTTTTTGTTTTTCCCCTAAATAGAACAAGACACAACCAATGCCATCCCACTTTGCCCTTTCTTCTTTCCTTGAAGGCAGACATGATATCTGGAGCTGTAGCAGCCCTGTAGCTACCAGCAGGGGACAAGCCAGGGAGAAAGGTCAAGATAATCTGTTGAACTTGCCAGGCCACTGAACCAAGGCCCTCAGCTGCCTACCTTTAGACAAAAAATAAAAAGCTCTGTCTTTCAAGGCACTGTGGGGTGAGTTTTCTCTTACTGAATCTCTGATGCACCTGATCCATCTTTGTTCTATCAGCTCTGGAAATGTGCTGACCTGAAGCCTTCAGGAGCTCCCAGTGCTGCTCCTTTCAGAGTTATAGCTGTGTCTTCCTTCAGTCCCCAGCAGGCAGCCCATGAACAGCCTTTGGCACACATTCCCTTGCTATGGCCAGGTGACATTGTGACAGGCATATGTCAGCCCTCTCTTTCCAGTAATTTTTGGGTTGCACATGGAGCACACTGGAGTATTACAGCATTCAAGGGCTATGGGAAATTATGGGGCTGGTTCTGGTCCTTTCTGCCTAGTGACTTTTGTGCCTTCCCATGCCCTGCGTAGGGGGAGGTGGGAAGGGAGATGCTGGTAATCCTCCTGCCTTCAAGAGTCCCAGATGGGAAGCAGGACACAAATGTTTCCTATTCTTGGATCCCACTGGATTTCACAGGATGTTGATTCTTGTTCTACTCCCCGACCCCCTCTGGCACTTGACTGGAGTGTGGAGGAGACAGAGGACAGGGCCGTGCACAGCATCTTCCTGCCTTGTTCTCCACCCTCTCCTCCTCTGTCTCAGTTGGAGGGCAGGGCCAAGTAAAAACTGCTATTCCTTTTCTCTTCCCTGTTTCAAATATTTCTTCTTCTCATGCTAAATAGTGGCTTTTAATCTTTTGACCTAGGAATGTGTTTTCTTTATTCTTGTTATGGGCTAGTTCTATGACAGTCTGGCTGCCTGATGGGGGAAGGTTGCAGTTCAGCTGGGACACCCCTTCCAGGTGACTTTTCTGAAATGCGGTCTCATTTTGTCAATTCCCTGACTCTAACTCTGCATGGCTCTACCTCCCTCCTAGCTTAGAGTCCAGACTTCTCACCACTGCTTTACCAGGAGGTCTCTTCATGGTCTGGGCCCTGCTCTTTTTTTTCTTCTTTAATTTGATCTCTCACCACTCTCCTGCTCACTACCCTTTATTTGTTTTGTTCCATACCTAGGCTGATCCACTGGATAAGAAACTTGGGAGATGGAGCCTGGGCATTTTAGTTTAGTTTTGTTGTGCTTTTTATTTTTTCAGCTCTACAGGTAACTCTAATGCATAGCTAGGAGGTGAAAACCAGTAGTGCCGGATTTCACATTTCCCAGGGTATTTTCACATACATAATTTCATTTGGTTCCTAGAAGAATCTTGTGGTGTAGGTAGGGCGTATATTAACACATACGCTTTACAGATGCGAAGAAATGAGGTCTAGGGAGATTAGTAAAACTGTGCTGAACTGCAGGTGTTCTGACTAATTCTGGGCTGTTTCCACTCCATACTGAATTTTTATTTCTAGTAGTATCACATCATGTCAGTGTTCCAAATATGTAATTGTCTTCTTTAAAAAAAAAGAATATAACATAATTAGTATAAAGCTGTATCTTTTGACATCTAACTGTCCTTTTAGCAGAATAATAGCCACCACATAGCTGTTATCTCATAATGCTGTTTATTTTCCATATAGAAATTTTCATCATTTCTATTTATTTATCATTTGTTTACTTATTGGTTGGTTGTGTTCTCCTATTAGAATGCCAGCTTCACAAAAGCGTCGAACCTGTTTGGTCTAAGTGCCTGACACTTAGTAGAAAATGCAATAGCTCTTTGTTGAGTGAATATTTATTTGCCACTTTATCTCCTTGCATTTGATATATTATTGAAGTTAGAAGAGAATTATTAATCTAACAAACCATTAACTTAATTCTAACTGAAAATAATTTTTTAAATGTAATAATAGATAATGACAAACATTTTCTGCATGAATGAATGAATGATGAATTTCCATAACATACAGTGAAACTACCTAATAAAGAGAATACATTGTTTAGGTATTAAGTGGCAAGTTTGATTTTTGCTTGGTTTGTTGGGGTTTTTTTTGTTTTGTTTTGTTTTTGATGGAAGGCTGATATATCAGTATTTTTGAATATTGTCCGTCAACTGGCTTATTTGTCCTTAACAAAGGGAGCTCAGATCTGGAACTAATAAGTTTATAATGTAATTTCATTAAAATTATTGTATTTAGATAGCTCTTGGCATCTTTCATTAAACTGAAGTTGTTCAGCTGTAAGTGTTCGAGGCAAGGATCTTTTGATAGTTTCCAGTGCTTTCACTGAGGAACAAAAGGCAACACGATTCAATCTTTAATTATTAGAGAACGAATACACTGCAGATTGAAAGGATTAAAATAAAGCTTTGAGTGCTCTGGTTCGTATTCCCAGCTACAGGAACTCGTACAAGAAGAACATCTGTGTGGACATGCTGCGAGACGGTTATCACAAGTCCTTCACCGAGCTCTTCGCTCTGATGGAGCGGTGGGATGCCCTGAGGGAGGCTGCGAGGGTCAGGTCCCTGCACTGGTTGCAGAAGCCCCTGGAGGAGCAGCCTGATAAACTGGACCACTTCTACCACTACCTGACCAGGGCCGAGGACGCTGAGAGGAAAGGTGAGTGGTGGGACTGTGAGCAGCGCATGGCAGGCTCTGAGGGAAGATTCCAAATGTTTTCGTGTATGAATTTGGAACATTAAGACAACTTAGCACAGTTCAACCTAGTCAACTAAGCGTATTTATGGAATGAACGATAGGGAACACTGAAATGTGAGGCAGCCCAGACACCGGGGCGTCCTGGTGATGTCATTCTAAGCCAGGAAAGACAACACTTAGCACCTAATCACATCTCCAGAACTTTCCAATGGATTAAAATCTTTTGTAACATTAAGTTTAAACATTTTCATAATTTTTCTTTATACGTAATCTGAAAATTGACTTTCACTGAGGAGATACTTTTAAAGAGTACTGTATCTTGAAAATTACACTGATTTCCTTGCATTTATGTAATTGACTTTGGAGGTTGTATCAAGAAGTACTTCCTATTGAGTTGAATCAGAGAATTTATCTTAGTGAATAGCTGAAAGATATGAAAAGCCTGTAATTTACACTTGTGAATAAAATTGTTCATTGTATATTTTCAATGACATCATTTCAAATAAATTCCTTTTCTTGTATACTAAAAATTTTCAGAAAGTTAATGTACATGTCATGTATTGAAAAAAATGTTTTAATCTCTACAATAATTATATTGATATTATTGTCATAAATACTTCTTAGTTCATATTAGGAATTTGTCATCTAAAATCAAAGAAAAAAAAGAAAAGCCTAAAGTTTGATGTTCTAAATTATTCTTTTCTCCAACTTTTTGGGTGAAAATACTACAGGACTCAAAAAGGAAAGTTCAGACCCCACTATGACAATGTCTATGTTTCATTTCAGGCTTTTCTATGAGAATATAGAGTGTTAACAACTTTTTGTTACCTGATGTCACCATGGGGAAAATTGATAGGGACATGGAAACAACATGAGAGGGGTCTCTACAGTTGGGTCGATGCATATTTCCCATTGGGTTGTGACCTGACTTAAGAATATGAGACATGAAAAATGTGAACAACAAAACAAGTGAACGAGGGTGTGTGTGTGTGTGGCAGGGGGTAGGAGGTGGGATAGGAGTGATTATTTATATTATGGAAAGTATTTAAGTGCAGGATTAACTTTAAAAACTAGTCTTTTGGTAAACTTTAAAATATGATTTACAAATAATTTCTCCAAAAATTAACTATTATAAATAAAAAATGACATCGTAAATGCCTACATTGTTGTATTAGTGCCAAATTCTAAAGTGATATTTACACTGAAAGTAGTATTAATCAAGGTAAATTTTGCCCAATAGTCATATTTTAAGTGGAATTTTATCATATGCACTATTTTAAATTGAAGCTTTCATTTGAGATAGTATAAATATGATCCAAATATGTTACTTGTAATAAAG